TCCCTCTCTTTTCTTTCTCCTTCCTTCCCTCCCCTCCCCTTTCTTTCTCTTTCTCTCATCTTTCTCTTTTCTTTCTCTCTCCTTCCTTTTCTTTCTTTCTTTTTCTTTCTTCTTTCTTTTATTTCTCTCTCCTTCCTTCTCTTTTCTTTCTCTCTTCCTTCCTTTTCTCTTCCTTTCTTTGTCTCTCTCCTTCCTTCCCTCTCCTTCCATCATCTTTTCCTCTTTTCTTTCTCCTTCCTTCCCTCCTTTCTCTCTTCCTTCCTTTTCTCTTTGTCTCTCTCTTTCCTTCTCTTTTCTTTCTCTCACCTTCCTTCCATCTTTCTTTTTCTTTCTCTCTCCTTCCTTTTCTTTCTTTCTCTTTTTCTCTCTCCTTTCTTTTCTTTCTCTCTCCTTCCTTCCTTCTTTCTCTTTTCTTTCTCCCTTCCTTTTCTCTTCCTTTCTTTGTCTCTCTCCTTCCTTCTCCCTCCTTCCATCCATCTTTTCTCTTTTCTCTCTCCTTCCTTCCTTCCCTTTCTTTCTCTCTTCCTTCCTTTTCTCTTTCTTTGTCTCTCTCCTTCCTTCTCTTTTCTTTCTCTCGCCTTCCTTCCATCTTTCTCTTTTTCTTTCTCTCTCTCCTTCCTTCCTTCCTTCCTTTTCCTCTCTCTCTCCATTTCTTTCTCAAACTAGGCCGCCCTTTCGAGCGTGGGCAGCCCTTCCCTCTTGCAGACAACTAACATATGCCACGCAAACGGAAACCCGTGAACCGAGAGAAAAGTTGTTCTCTTGCGAGGGCTTTTCTGTTTGCCACCAGCCCAGCGGAGCACTTGCCAGCTGGTGGCTTCTGAGATGACACTGTTTGCTCTCCCCAGTCTGTGCACCCTGTCATGAGACACGGCTTGGCACAGCAGGCAGCCACCATCTGTACGGTTATCCCCCTCGGCTCTTCCTCCGAAGCACATTCACGGCTGGCTCGCAAGGCAGGCAGAAGACTCACGGGTCCTCCTTTCCTGGCGGCTGAATTCAGTGGGACGTAAAACGGAGTGGGAGGCCCTTCTCCTGCACCCCTTCAGTGGCCTGTAGGGTGAGATCTCCTACTGGTTCTCCAGCTGGTGGCACGAAGTCAATGAGATTACACACGGAGCTAAGGAAAGCCTTAAGTGGGGCTTTCCTAGATCAGTGTGGCAGCACCAGGAGGCTTTCGAACAGAGGTTGGACAATCCTCTCTTTGAAATGGTAGAGGCCCTAGAGCAGGGAGTTGGTCTAGAAGACCTCCAAGGCCCCTTTAATTCAATTCAATTCAATTTATTCGATTTATAGGCCGCCCAATCCCGGAGGACTCCGGCCGGCTTACAAAGAACAAGAAAAGAAAGCAGAATAAAATAAAAAATAATTTAAAAATTCCCCAACACGCATACGTTCTGATCGGGGCTGGACCCTACATAATAAGGTCAACACCCCCAGGCCTGCCGGAACAGCCAGGTTTTGACAGCTTTTCTGAAGGATTCTGAAATCTCACCTGATTCCCTCGAATTTCCTTACATTCCTGGATCTTCTTATATGTCAAACTTCCGGCGTCCTTTACACATGTTGTTTTCACCAACACCACCCTCAGACGGTATTTGACTACCTTCCTATTTTCCACCTGGATTTAAAAAATAAGTACGTGGCCTTTTAATTAATTGGAAAACATGATCGGCCTCATCAGTTGCAACCCGGAAAGAGCTTAATGCCTCGAGAGCAGCAAGAACATCAGTTCAAGCGATACGAACAGCAGAAATCCGGTCCTCTTGGTCCACCATAACAGTCCCTCCGGTAGGACACCCCCTAAGCTCCCTCCAGCACCCCCAAACCCTTCTACTAAGAGCCCTGGTGGCGCAGTGGGTAGACTGCAGCATTGAAAGGCTAACTCTGCCAACTGCTAGAGTCAGCTGCCTTGATCCTGACTGGCTCAAGGGTGACTCAGCCTTCCGTCC